TACAAGTTGTCTTCTTCAGGAGCAATATGCTGTAAAAGCATTGTTGCAATAATATTGTTCTTTTCCAGTTTTCTTTGTTGGGTTTATACTTCACCTTTCTTTGAAGGAGTTCAGTACATCATGGTTCTCACCACACACCAAAATATCCTCTCAGCAAATCTGTGAGGTGGGGTTAGGCTGAGAGAAAAATGACAGGCCAAAGGTCACTCAGTGAGCTCTATAGTATAAACTGAGACAGACCATTGGTCCATCTAGCAGCTGGAGTCTGCTAGTAGCTGGTAGCATCTAGGGAAACCCTAGGAAACTGGGCATGCTGGGGATTGAACAAGAGACCTTCTGCATTCAAAGCAGTTACCATACCTCAGCTTGACTCTCTAACCATTACATCTCTCCATACAGAGATGGGGTGCTGGACTGCTGGCTTATATCCTGGTCTACGAAGCTTGCTTCCAAAAGCAAGTCATCATGAAGTTAGCAACTTTGGCTATAATCTGTTGGCCTTTATTTCAGCTGCCAAACTTTATCTCAGTTTCTCTTTCCTCCCCCTTCCTCCACCCCGAAAGAAAACCCAGCCTCATGAGACACTGCTCTTCCAAAGTACTCTTTGCTCTGGCATTGATAAGCTGTGCTTAGTAAATATCTCTCCTGGCTATTTTGACCCCAAGGTTGTGAGAGATGGGGAAATCCCTCTCCTGGAACAGCCTTAATGAAGCAACATCCTTCTGTTCCTTGAAATAACCATAAAGCCACGTCCCATATTAATGGGGTGGGAATAGGGCCTGGCTAAAAGACCCTGTCTCGCTCGTGCCTGCTTCTCTTGTGCACTCAGTTAGGACATCATTGCGCAATTCCAGCAGATAAAGCAAGGAAAATTCTCTCGGCTCCGTCTTTTCTGTCTCCCTCCTTATTTTTTCACATGACCTATCACTTGACTTAATCTTTGCCTGTTCTGTTCCATTTCCTTTCTCTGCTGTCCTCATGCCCTAGTTACTTTCTGTTCTTGCTTCTGTTCTCAACCCTCCCTTACCTGCCCAGCTCTGCGTTCTGCTTTTTCCTCTGATGTGACAATAGCCAACACTTTGCATTCACAAAAGATTTCATTCACTTTTAGGTAACAGCCTATTCTGTCGGAAAAGGGTGGTTTTTTTGCTATATGGAACAAAGGAGCTGTATTGCTGGTATTACGTGCGTTCTGGTCATCTTTGGATGTGCGGGTTATTTGGAGATCTCTGCTAGAGGTTGTAACTAGGAAACAGGCTAGTTCAAATAATAAATGTTAGATCTTTGCTGGTCAACACCTTGGCATGGACAGAAAGCCAAAGGTTCGGAGTATTTATGCATTTAGCCCAATACTATGCTTGGTCAACAGCTCTCCAGGGTCTTCAGCAGAGTGTCTTTCTCATTACCTGCTGCCTGATCTTTTGACTGCAGGTTCCAGGAATTCAACTAGGCACCTCCTGCTATGGTCCCACTGTGCACATTTGACCACAGGAAACAGCTGTTTGTCATGGCCAGTGCTAAGCCATAGGTAGCAAGGCACATGGAGTGCTCAGGCAGGGTTGAGGCGGACTTTTGCACTTTTCACATGCTCCTTTTCTATTTTAAAATGTGCAAAGTGGCTTCTCCCAAGTTGGAGCCCTGGGGATGATTTCCTCAGAGGGCCGAGACTAGAAAATGAGGTTGTACATCTGCAGCACAGAAGAATAACCTAGAACCTAGAATGGACCTGTCGGCCTCCAGATCATAGAATCACAGGACTGTAGTTGGAAGGGACCTCAGGGGTCATCTAGCCCCCTGCAATGTTGGACTACAACTCGCATCAGCCCCAGCCAGCTAGGGATTATGAGAGCAGTACTCCAGTAAGATATAGGTAAAGGTAAAGGGACCCCTAACCATTCGGTCCAGTCGTGACCGACTCTGGGGTTGCGGCGCTCATCTAGCTTTATTGGCCGAGGGAGCCGGCGTACAGCTTCCGGGTCATGTGGCCAGCATGACTAAGCCGCTTCTGGCGAACCAGAGCAGCGCACGGAAACGCCGTTTACCTTCCCGCCGGAGCGGTACCTATTTATCTACTTGCACTTTGACGTGCTTTCGAACTGCTAGGTTGGCAGGAGCAGGGACTGAGCAACGGGAGCTCACCCTGTTGCGGGGATTCGAACCACCGACCTTCTGATCGGCAAGCCCTAGGCTCGGTGGTTTAACCCACAGCACCACCCGCATCCCTCCAGTAAGATATAGAGAGTAGCACATTGTGCATTCTTATCTTGTCAGTTGCTGACCAGGACAGAGCCAAGCTGTCTGCCTTAAGGAGGCTGGGATAGATGCAAGGGAAGGAAACAAGCAGACAGAAAGCCCAGGGGTTCGATGGGCAGACTCACAAGCAGAGGAACCTAGAGGGATACTTGGAAGTCATGATGTTGATGAGACCAGAATCTGGACATTTTTATGGCCAGGCTGAGTCAGGGAAACCCAAATGGGATGCCTGGGGCTGGGACCAAGCTGGGGTCTGAGAAGACAGTACTTCCTGTCCAACATTCACAGATAAGACAGATCTTTCTGTCTCTTGACTTGTAATTTTTTTTAAAAAAGGGAAGCAGAGGAGCTCTTTGCACTCCTGATGTAGCACCTTATAAGCTTTTTGGGAAGAGCTGCTGCTGCTGAGGATCTGCAAAATGCTGGGTGCACTCTAAATGGAGCAGCACGTGTGCGCGCGAAATGCCTTTGACGGCATCTGCTGTACAATTTGTGGCCGCCAGGAAAGCCCCAGTTGCAATGCGCTTCCTGGTAATGGCAGTGCATGCTTCGTGCCGTCTTCGTGATTGTGCAAGTAGGAAATGCTGTGGTTGCGAAACACCCTGCCGTTCTGTCTTAAAGGCTCACTTTGGCTCCTGTAGCCTGCAAAGAACTCCGCTTTATGTGTGTACCTCTTGGCATGCCTGCGTTTCGACAGTTACCTCCTGGAACCAGGTGCATGATTCTTGAGAGCTGCAATTTAAACCTTCCATACAAAACAGAGTACAACCATCCAGCCTCAGTTCATAACATTTTCAGAATTGAAGTGCTCTACAGGTTATTAAAGTGCCTCACTTATTGTGATCTGTGTTGACCATGAGAACCTGGATCAGTTGCAGTCATTGAGTGTGGGAAGTAGAGTATTGGGTAAGCAATCTGTATCTCTGGCTGTGACTCATATCGGTTTGATCTAAGCTGCATGCCATTTCTGAAGGCTTCAGGGGCAGTAGAATCTGTTGCTGTCTGGCACCAAATAACTGTGTGTGTGTGTGTTTGTGTGTGCGGCTGACACATTCCTCTGGAAACACCTTGGGAAAGAGGACACCAGCCTATAGGAGCATGAAAACTGTTGTGCTGAAGTCAACCAAGACATAGCTGGGCATTTTACCACCCAAGTATTGCCAAATAAGCACTGCTATTTGTGCTGTTAGATCAAATGGTAGATTGAGTAAAAACAAAAAGCAGGTTCTTGGTGCTATCAGATATTCGACTCTATATCACCAGTTAATCAACTAGTGTCCCAGTTGTCAGCTAGTAGTCCATTTATCTCATTATTTTGTCTCCCCCTTCCCCAAGTACAGTGGTACCTCTGGTTATGTACTTAATTCGTTCCGGAGGTCCGTTCTTAACCTGAAACCGTTCTTAACCTGGGGTACCACTTCAGCGAATGGAGCCTCCTGCTGCCACCGCACGATTTCTGTTCTTATCCTGAGGTAAAGTTCTTAACCCAAGGTACTACTTCCGGGTTAGCGGAGTCTGTAACCTGAAGTGTTTGTAACCTGAGGTGTTTGTAACCCGAGGTACCACTGTAGCTGTTTTGTTTATCAAAGGTGCTGCATGTTCCATTTGACTGCCTTAATATTTTAGAATGTAATTCCATGACACGAGAAAACCTGGCACATTCATTGGGGGAAAATATAATTGCTCTTCTTGTTTCCCCTACCAATCTCAGGTTTAAGAAACCCATAGACAGGACCTAAGCACAAGAGCACTCTCCCTTCCTGCATTTTCCAACAGCTAGTTTTCAGAAGCATTACTTCTTTTGACTATGGAGGTAGCCGTCTCTTCCGTCAATTTTTCTAATCCCCCTTTAAAGCCATCCAAGGTCTGTATCCAATGCTGTGCATACTCAGAGTATTGTCACAAGTCTGACCTTGGGCCTGTGGTTAAGCTCTCTCGTCACCAGCCATTGCTTAGGTCATTGCGGCGTGGGGACTAAATAGACACGAGCAGAGCAAGGCGGCTGTGAGTTCCTTTTTTTAAAAAAAATATCCTTTATTAGTTTAAAATACAGACTTAAAAGATCATTTACAGCAGGAACAAGAAGAAAAAAAGAAAAGAAAAAAGAGTCGAAAGAAAGAAAAGAAAAAAACTGTTTACAAAAAGAAACTGCATCTTCTCAAATCACAATCAAATAAAGATTTTGGATATAAAACTTCCAATCGTTCTCATTACACTGTTTATGCTGTGAACTCCTTTTAAGAGACTTGCACATTTTTGGAATTTGCTTGGTTACAACAGTATATTCAGTTATAAGTATATTAAATGGTTGAATTATTTTCTTCGATAACTAGCTGGTACACATGTTTGCTATAGGAGCTTATTCCCATGAGCATTCACATCCAAATAACAAACCATATGTCTGCAACTAAACTTTATTATTCTAAATGTGTGGTGCTAAAAATAAGATGGTGTGAATTGTATTTATATATTGCAGGAACTAATCCTGTACACAGCTTCTGCATGTTGTTGTATTTTTGCTATTTTCTGACATTATCCTGTCTCTCCTTTTGGTGTTTGGCAGCCATGTCTGTGATTTAAGATATGTTTCCCCCCCTTTGGAGTTGCTTTGTTGTTCTGTGATGTCATCATGTTGACCGCATGATCCCTGATTGGCCAGGATAATCAAAGTCACTAATTCTGAAAGGACAAAAAATCAGCAGCCAGTGGAAATGTATTTGTATGGCGTCAGGTGCTCTGATTGTCTTAGTGTTGATGGGTACACTCCATTAAACAAATGCGTGTTCTGTACGTTTGCCAAGACATGCATGAAGAAAGCCTTGAAATAAGAATGGGGAAATGCATTATGGGTTGGAAATTCCCGCTTGGGACAAGGGAGGATAGATATAACACATGGATTTGAATTCCTGGCAGGCTAAGCAAGCAGGTTTGAGATTCCCATCAGAGGCAACGCAACAGAGTGATGTGCATATTTATTCCCTGGGATATTAAATTTTCTCATGCAGGTTTGCTTCCTGTTCTTCCAGTTTCACCCCATACCTGGCATAACTTGGCCTATATAACTGCTGTGGCATTAGGGGTGTGCCACTGTAGGGGGTGAAACGTAATTGTTGCAAATTTATTCAGTCTTAAAATGTGGTTTTGGGTGTGAGGAATTCAATTCTGCTATTATTTTTGTGACTGGGCAACTTTTAACTACAATTCCTGTTTAACAATCCCTTCCTCTTTCCAGGGAATTCTGGGAACTGTATTTCCGCGAGGGGAATAGGGATCTCCTAACAATTGTAAATCAACATTGACAAGCTACAGATCCTGGGATTTTTGTTGTTGTTATGCGTGTGGGAGCCATGAGTGTTTAAAGCGGTAATGTACTGCCTTAAATGTATAGGGCAAATGCAGCCTTTGTCTGCTGAAACTAGGGTGTTTCTGTGTCCAGACTGTCTTCTCTTTTGAAAGTGTTTTGTATTTGAAAGGTTGCCTGCTCCCAAGTCCAGCTTAAAGATAAAGATTAAAGCACAGTTATCTGGCTGCTGTGGTTGTTTACTTCTCTCTTCCTCAGCACAGGGTGGGAAGATTGCCAGTGTTGCTTTTTATCAGACGATGCTTGACCAAATTAGCTGTGGCGTTTTTCTCCCTCTGTTTGTGATAACATATTGACCCAGAACCACAGCAGTAAATGAGGAACAGCCTCGGACGTTGAAATCCGGGAGTCTCGATTTAAATTCTCTTATCATCTGGAGTGATTTAAATGCAACGGCATAAATAAAGCCACTTTTTCTTTTTGCCCGTCTGGGGTTGGATTATATACATATTTCGTTTAACCGAAATAGATCAGAGGTCATCCATTCTAACCATTTATACTCAGACTGGTGGGTGGAGTTGTCACATGAAGTTGACATAGGCAATTAAGAAGAATTTTTTTTTAAAGGATTCTTCAGTTAATCAGGAAGTAGAGTTTACCTGAAATGGATCCGGATGATCAGTTTTTTCATTATTATGGGATAATGGTCCCTTGGAACAACTTTGTGAAGAGGTGGCAATAGTGCTGGCTGCAGGGGTTTTTGTGGGGGCAATTTGTCCTCAAGATGGCTCCCCCTTTTTTCAGCCCTCTGAAAAAGAGGGTTGCAAGACAGTTGCAGCAAACTGTCTCCTACCAGGCCCAGTGAATACCATTTCCCAGAGGGAGACCCCAAGGCCTCTTAAGTCTCTTGACACTTCTCACTCTTTGCATGCTCAGAGAGGGGAGGTGAACAAGTGGTTACAGTAATTAGGGGGTGAGGGAGAGCAATAGGGCCAGGAGCAGGGAGAACTTCAGGTGCTAGATGATCCTGGCCCAAGGCAGAACCTGGTTCTGATAAGACTGGCAGCATCTGGGCTATATAAGCAGAGGCAGCAATGTGCATCAGAGATGCTTTCGTTTTCCCTGTTTGGGAAGATATTAATGTGAGAAGCAGCCCAGAGGAAGAAGACGCTTGTCTGTGTGAAACTTGCAAGTAAGCTGCTATGTTCCCACTGTTTTCACTGCAAATCCCCCTGAAAAACATTGCTTTGGAAATAAATGGGTGGAACTCCTGCCTTGGCAATAAAAAAACGAAAGAAACAACCACTGCAAAAAAAGCACGTACTACGTTGTCATCTCCTGGAAGATGGTGGTGATTAATTTTAAGTGATATTCCTGTCTAGTAGTGGAGCTCCCAACCCCCGATGTGGATGCAGCTTGTCCCATTTTAAAGAAGCAGTGATTTATGCCAGCCAGCCCACGTCTGTGGCCTCTTCAAAAGGTCAAGTGTGATGGCAGCCAACTGTGAAATATGAAACCACAACCAATCCTCCACCTGTAGTTTGTGCTGTGTGCTTTTCATCCCCAGAAGCACCTTTGCCACAAGCATAAATCCACAACCCCGCTGTGAGGACAGCAATTATTCTCAACTTATTTTCCTTTTCCACACAGTGTCAATATGCTGGTCCCAATCTGAGGCAAGGTACAGCTGGAATCAATAAATCAATCACTAGTTTGCAGTTGATTTAGTGGGTGGTGTTCTGTTGCGTTTTTTAAAGAAAAAACAAACCACCAACCCTTAGAAGGGTTTTAGAAACTTGATTGCCAGCACTGCAGTTAATTTATTGGCTAATAGAAATGCCTTTTCAGAACTGACCTTGAACAGTTAAAAATATACAGTATAGGTTTCCTGGAAAAATCATACAAGCAATGCACCAGTTTAAAAGCCAAAATCAGTAAGATGCCAATTGCAACCATCTCAAAATATAACAGTCTCGTTAATGAAAAATTAACCAAATGTTAAAGCTTCAGAATTTTAAATCGCTCACTAAAAGCCTCTAAGAACAGAAAGGTCTTTGAAGACACCCAAAGACCAGCGATGAGGGAGCCTAGTGAACTTTGAAAGGGGTCTCCTTCTGTAGCTTTGGCACACCTGTCCAGAAGGCCTTGTCTTATCCATTTGCCCCTCTTAACTGGATGGTGATCAGAGTCTTTGAACGTGATCTTAATTGTCAGGCAGGTCCATATGAGAGTGGACCAGCCTTCCCTAACCTGGTGCCCTCCATAATGTTTTGGATTACAACCCCTATCCGAAACATTGGCCGGGGGATGGGGGAGGCAGGTTGGGGGATGCTAGAGTAGGAGATTCTGACACAAACATGGTCCCAGACTGTTTAAGGCTTTAAAGGCCAACACCAGGTCTTCTAATTGAGCCTGGGAACAAAAAGAAAGTCTGTGTAGGTGGAGCAAGATCTGAGTAATATGATCTGTACCCGTTCCGTTAGTAAAACAGCAATACTTCTCTTTTGCTTCATTACCGTATCCAACAGTTTGGTTAATAATATTATGTTGAGTTCTGAAACCCATGGCAAGCAAGGCAACACCTTTTATTGGAACAGCAAATGTTTTAAATGCTGGAAGTGGGAGTTGGTGCCTCTCCAGTGAGGTATTGGAGGCGAAAGTAAGTCATGATGCAGTTTCATGCTAACTAGGGACGTGATTCAGCCTTGGTTAAGTGCTTTAGGGCTGCAATTCTCTCCGCGAATGCTTGGGAGTAAGTTAGCGCAGGAGCTTGAGGCAAAAATAATTTTGGCTATCAAAAGTTTTTCAGCCACATTCCGATGCAATAGCAAGCCTTGGTTTAATGTCATGAGGACAAGCCACAGCAAGCCTTGGGCTTGTGCCCTCTTTCTGGGTGTGACTGCGAGGCAGAGTCGAAAACTTTTCTTTCTGCTGCTTGTGTTGACCATAGTTGCTGGAGCTGCCTTGCTTCAACAAACCGTGGCTGAGATCAGCTACAGTTTGTCTGGTAGGAACATCACACTAAACAAGGTTACTCTGAAGTGGAAATGGAAGTGCATTCACCTGAGGGAAGGGGAAGGACCCTGAGGCATGAAAAAGGTGCCTTCTGGGTAATTCTCTGGCGGGTCCAGTAGCTAAGTGGGGCTTTTAAGGGAACACCACCAGCCACTCTTGTGTCAAATGAGCACACTGTGTTGCTTGTACCAACCTGGCCCATGTGTGGATTCAAATTCTCTTTTTCTTTCTACTTTGTTAATTAATCCCTTCAGCTTGTTTCACTTGATTAATGCAATTTGGAGTTCTTCTTTCACAGCGATTTGCCCAGCAAGCATTGATAAAGTTATGAAGTCTTAATAGCTACCGCAGGGACCTTCATGACAAGAGAGGAACTGGTACAAGAAGCTCCCTGCTGGCGCTTTCCAGGCAGTGAAGTTAGACTCGCCATTGTCTTGTAAGAGTCTTAGGGGTAGCACTATTGCTGGAGATGCAGTCCATCGTCACTCAGGCGCGGGGAGATGCAAGTCTTCAGACAGCCATGAGCTCACTTCTTGTCTGGTTTTTCCTTACGAACACTGAAAAAATGACCCATGTTCGATGGTAGTTTTCTATAAATTGTACTGCACACCAACAAAGCATCTACTTGAAAGATTTTGTTTCCTTTTCTCTTTTTGTAATAAGAAGGTGTACTAAGGCAAAACTTGATGCAGCTCCACTGGTAAACATTGGCACTAGGAAGGCAATTGAAATGTGAAGAGTGGAAATTGTGCCTGCAACAAGTGGAGATATGATAGCTATCTTCAGATATATGAAGGGCTGTCACATGGAAGGCAGAGCAAGCTTGCTTTCTCCCGATTTGGAGGGCAGGATTTGACCCAATGGATGCAAGTTGCAAGGAAGGAGATTTTGGCTAAACGTCAGGAAGAAGTGGAACTGTTGGAAGGTGGTGCATTCTCCTTCCTTGGAAGCTTTAAAGCAGAGGTTCTCAACCTGTGGGCCCCCAGATGTTGTTGGACTACTACTCCTATCATCCCTGAGCTCTGGCCTTGCTTGCTAGGGGTGATGGGAGTTGTAGTTCAACAACATCTGGGGACCCACAGGTTGAGAAAGGCTGTTTTAAAGCAGAGGTTGGATGGCTATCTGTCATGGATGCTTTAGTTTCGATTCCTGCATTTCAGGAGGTTGGAGTAGATGACTTTTGGGGGTGCCACTCTACAGTTCTATGATTATTTGACATCCATTTTCAGCCCTGGAGAGCAAAATGTACCAGGTGTGCAGATTTGATTTTTATTTTTTATATTTTTTTTTAAATTGATTTTGTAGCTTTTTGGAATCCTGACATTTAACCTGAATTTTTAACCACATTAATGCAAAACAGCAGCGTGGTTTGGGGATTCATAGCAATGGCAATTCCCCGACTCCAGAAGTGAAAGTATGAAAGTCTACTGTTGCCTTTCCATACTTGACCTTTAATGGAAAGCTTCCCACTGGAAGGTTATGTGATCCCTTCCTTGTAGCTGGCTATTGTGAAACCTGTTGTGAACCAGCTGTTACAAGGAACTAATGAAGCATGGGGAGGGGGGGAATATCAAGGGCCCATCTGCGAAGTGCAGTTTCTACCTGCAGGCAACGTGTGAGAATGTAACTAATGTGTTAAAAGCTTTTTGACTTCAGCATGGACGTCATCAATTGAGCTACTGAGCCTTCTCAGTTTGCAAGTCCTGCAGAATTCTGCATCAAATCCTGACATTTTAAAATTTAGAATGCATAAAGCAAATCGTTTCAGAATGTATCGCTGCTTTTGCGTACTGAACAAACTAGACTTGTCCTCTATTCTGGTGTGTGTGTGGCAATCGTCGACCACAACTCATGGGCAAAGTCGGATCATTATGGGTGGCCTCTAGTGTCTGTAAGATACTAAAGGGAAGCGGTCACTGATCGCGCATGGAAAAGGCGGCAGGCACACTGAGGGGCACATACATGCTCACAACTGGGTTACTTACCCAGGTGAAACACCTTGCACCATCTCACACTTGGAGCTTTCCTATGGATTTGGTTCATGCGCTCAACTGTGAGTCACAATCCAGTTGTGTACTTACCACATATAGATTAACCTGGACTGTAATATAGATATGAATGGTGACTTGAGCATGAGAGAGGAGGGAGGGTTTCAAAACCACTTCGTGGCCATGAGGCACTTGGTTCCATCTCTGGCATCTTCAGTCAGAAGGATTAGGTAGCAGGTATCTCTGCTCGAGACCCTGAAGAACTGCTGCCAGTTTGTGTGAGCTATACTGTACTGGGCTGTGTAGGAAGCTGTCTTACACAAAGCCTGTGTTAAAATGCAGGAAGCTGCCTGCGTTTTGTCCCTCTGTCCCACAGGAGTCTGTACCAGGGCTATCTGGAAATACTGGTATTGAATCAGAAACTTCTGTGTGCAAATCTTGTGCTGTGCTAATGTTGTCAAAATACTCACATACCTGTGAACATTTTCCATTGAATTCAGTACAGTGGTACCTCGGTTTAAGAACGATTTGGTTTACAAACCCCGCAAAATTGGAAATAGTGTCTTGGTTTGAGAACTTTACCTCAGTCTAAGAATGGAATCCGAATGGTGGAAGGGCACTGGCGGTGGGAGGCCTCATTAGGGAAAGTGTGCTTCGGTTTAAGAACGGTTTTGGTTTGAGAACGGACTTCCGGAACGGATTAAGTTCGTAAACCGAAGTATGTGTATTTCATGCAGCTTGTTTAAAGGCTCTCTGTGAACTCTGTGAGTTTTATCTGTCAGCAAATAAAATATGCTATGGTTTTGTCTTGCAGCTCCATGTTGACTTCTGGCTTGATAGACCCACAATTTGATTTTCCTTATCACTTGATGACATTTGTTTTCGTGGGGAAAATGTTGCTTTCTCCCATGCCTGGGCAACTTTTATGAATGCAATCTTATTGACGTGAGGCTGCTGAGACTTCTTACAAAACGAAAGCCTCTCTGTGCTTCCTGTGCCTGACGTCTTCAGTTAACACGCCACGATACTACTGTTCATTTTGTTTCAGGGTTGCAGATACAATAGTTAATTCTGACCATACGGCGCAAGTAGTTTTGTGAAACCGTGGGAATTTTGCAAAGGAACCAAAGAGCACTGACTTTAATGGTGCCACTCGCGTGCTTAAAGGAGCAAATTTAGCATCTTATTTACGGTCTTGCGTCCAGAGGAATGGTGGATCTCTAGTGTTCATCTCTCTACTGGTTGGGCAAAGCGATCCTTGAACCCAGTGGATAGGAGCATTGGACCAAATTGTTGTAGACAAACTTCGGATAAGCCTGACATGGTGCCATTTTGCATACTTGTTTTTGCTTGCGTGTGTTTAGTAAACCCGTGGTTATCGGGTAGTTTTCTGGCTTGAGGGATGGTTTCAGCTGTCCTTGGCTCTTGAACTTTCTCCTTGTGTGCTTCTAAACTGATTTGCTATGTTTAAACCCCATTCCTGCTCCAAGTTGTTCAAGGTGGCATACATGGGATCGCCCCCCTCTTTTTTTCTTCCTCGCAACAACCTTGTGAGGTAGGTTCAACTGAGAGACAGTGGCTACCCCAAGGTCACCTGGTGAATGTCATGGCGGAGTGGGGAGTTGAACTGTGCTATCCCGGGTCCTAGTCCAACATTCTTAATCACCAAACCATACTGGCTGTCATGTGCAGGGAGGTGTGAGTATTTTAACACAGATCACTCAAAACTACACGCCACACTACACTACATCCCACACTGGCTGTCTGAAGTCCAGGAAAGACTGTAACATGATATGATTTCTGCATACAATTTGTATCTGCTCTGCGACTTCAGCAGAAGGCTATTAGTCCTGTTAGCAGTTGTATGTGGTTGTATTACTTGATTGTTATCTCCCAAGGCTGGCCCTATGAATTTCTTTAATCCTTTTTTAATATAAATCCATCAAAGATGGTGGACATCACTGCCTTTTGTGGGAGTGAATTCTATCGTTTAAGTATGTACTCTGGGCCCAAGTGCTTTAATTTGTCCATCCTGGATCTTCTAGTGTTCTGTTTTGTTGGATATCTTCTCCTTATCTGCTTTCCCTTGCTGGTCTCTCCCCCCCCCCCCCAAACTAAAAAGCCCCCAATGTTGTAACTAATAGGGGATTTGCTCCACCCCCTGGGTAATTTTGATCATCCTTTTCTGAAGTGGGGGCTGATTTCATGCATGAACTGTCCCAAGAATTGCAGATTTATCACCACCAGAAAACTTGCATAGAGTCGTATCTTGGTTTTCAAACAGAATGCGTTCTGGAAATCCGTTCGACTTCTGAAACGTTTGGAAACCAAAGCGCAGCTTCCGATTGGCTGCAGGAGCATCCTGCAGCCAGTTGGAAACCGCGCCGGATGTTCAGCTTCTGAGGCAAAATTCACAAACCGGAACACCTACTTCCAGGTTTGCGACATCCGAGTTCTGAGTTGTTCGTGAACTAAGCTGTTCGAAAACCAAGGTATGACTGTATTTGTCAATAGCAATACAATATATTTCAATGGACTGTTCACTTGCACAGGTACTTAGAAAATGTTTGTGTAATATATAGAGTCATAGTCAGAAGGGGCACCAAGGGTAATCTAATCCAACCTCTTGCAATGCTGGAATATCCTGTAAGAACCATCTCTCTCATACAAAGAGCCTTGCTTGTCCCCAATAAAAATATTGGCTTGATTTTGGAGAGGTGTTTGTGCTTGGTCAGGCAGCGTCATAATTGCTTTGGCTTCTGTTCCCATTTGGATAGCATATAAATAACACATCCAGTATGTGACTTGAGAGTAGCTGATAAGCAAAGCAGGAGATATATATATATATATATATTTAAATCATCATTGTAATATGAGATGTTATCGCTTAGGGGGGATAAATCACGCTGCAGTACTGGGATAAAAAGATGGAGATAAATGTGTAAATAAACTCTTCCAGCATCTGTCAAATAGAACGTTTGTTATCTTTTAGAAACTGCAATTTGGCACAATTGATGAATGCCAGTAAGATGCTGTTTCTTGACTAGTAGTTTCTTTTGGAGAAGGGGGAAAACAGCAGTTTATTGCAAAGGCAAAAATTAAATGTCTTGTTTACTGTCTCCGTGTAATGCACCTTGATCTAGGAGAATGCAAGGAAATGCTTTGCATCTGTGAATACTTGCCTTGTGAGACTCTTACGGAAAGGACTGGGGGGGAGGCGGAAGGAAGGAGGGAAATATTTTGCCTGAGAGGAATAAAAACGAGGGAGACATAATAAGACACCTGTGAAGGTTTGTATCGTACTCAGTGTGTTTCTGCTTCATTATTCCACTTATAACCAAAGCAACATACCAAAAAATAGCACGGATCCAGGCATCTTTTAGATGCCCCAGGAGGCCTTCCGTAAAGCTGGCTGTTCACACAGAAGGGTTATATTAGTGGCAAGACTTTGTGAAGAGCTGTCAAGAAGAAAATCTTAAAGCACTCTATTTCTTAAAATGTCTAACCTTAACAACACGGGCCCCATTGCTGGTAGCTCTCTGCAGCTGTGTGTGTGAAGAGAATGTCTCTTGTCTATTTCCAGACCTAGTCTGACTATTACACAAAAGGGATGTTATCTAGGA